CATATCAAGGATCAGCAGGTACTTCTATTTTAATGGATGAAGATAGAAACTTATATCAAAAGAAAGGGCTTGTATTCATTTGCACACAGCTGCTTCTGACAGCATCTTAAGACATGGCTAGGACTCCAATAGCATAGATCAGTGATGGCAAACCTATGGCACTCATGCCAGAGGTGGCATGCAGAGCCATCTCTGTGGGCACGTGCTCTGTGTCTAGCGGCTCTTCACCGGTGTCAGAGCACTGAAAAGGGCGAAAAATGGCCAGAAAACAGGCCGTTTTTCAGGCTGTTTTCAGCCGAAAAATGGCCAAAAAATGCACACCGACCAGCTGGTCTTCAGGTTTCCAGCATTCCAGCACATACCTATGCACGCGCATGCACATGCATTCCGATTTGGGTGCTTGATGCCAAAAAGGTTAGCCATCACTGGCATAGATGCTGCCTTACGGGACTTTCATCATGATCTTACTGATCTTGTGACATTTCTTCCAGCTGTTCATTTGATACACTGGATTTCTCCGAAATTAGCAACAGAGCATTTGCTGGAAGGATTCTCATTCTGTAGCAATGGATGTCACTGTTTTTAGGGGGTTGTCATAATTCTTCCCGGGTTTTCTCTAATATGTAACTTTATTTTTCAGGGCTCATGACATAAATTGTTCATAACTTGTTCATACAAATCTTTTTTAATCTTTAATACTTAGAAGTGTTATAGTTATGTCAGAGGTTTATACAATACCATGTGACCATGTGGTGTATCTTGGTATTTTTAAGTAATTGTGTAACACAAAACGCTTACTTCTGATTGGATACAGTTATACAATATTTAAAACTTAAATGCTTTCATTATTGTTCTGTTGCCATAAAAGAGTTCAATAGCTGACAGGAACTGATAGGAAGCAGATGATTTTTTTTGCATAAATCATTTCCATGCTAGCATCTTAAGGTAAGATAATTTACTGAATGAAATATGTAACTAATACAGAGGAACCGCTCAACTAATGAGATGCCAATAGCAGTTTATATGTAATGCTAAAATTTGAAATTAAAAATATTTTATGCATTGAATTTTCATAACTGGAAAAAGACTTTTTGATTAGTATGAAAGAATATGTCAGTGTATTTCAGCATTTTGAGATGAATCAGTATTATATATATTATTTTTTATAAATACCTTGTAAGATTCTTGTAATGACATGGCTTTACAGAAATAAACATTTAACAGGTCAATCTCTGATTTTAAAATGTTGCTTTGGCAAATTTTTCAGCCTCAGCTTTGCTATCCATGTTATGGGTTTTATTTATTAGATTTAAATGCTGTTTTTCTTTCCAGAGCTGATAGTGACAAATGTAAATACTCCCTCCTCTGGTTTCTTCCTACAACACTTCAGGAAGTAGCTTGTGCTGAGAAAGAGCATCTGGGCCAAAGTCCCCAGGAAGTTCTGTGGCTGGCAGGGGACTTGAACCTGTACTAGCCCAATGCCTTCACCACTGTGCCATATTGATTCCCCTATTAAATATTAAAGTTCACTATTAATGAGTAGGACATGCTTTGGATGTTGTCTGCCATGCCAGATTGCAGTTTCTATAATCTTAAGAAAACATAGCATCTTTGAATCGGACTAAGGAAACTCAAGGTCAGATCTACCATCAGGTATAGAAATCCATGGGGTGGTTTTGGGACAGTCCTTCTCTCTCAACCTAAGCCAGCTCCCATGGCTGCTGTAATGGGGATCAAAGGGAAGAAGGATCCCCAGGAAAATTGCCTCGAGCTGCAGGAAGGGCGGGGGATCTAAATGTAAAAAATAAATCCAGTGGCACAGCAGTGGTGGATGATAGGAGCAGAAAACTTTTAAGTACTTAGTTGAACTGAAACGGACAGAAAATGAAGACTTTCTGACTGATGTGGGAAATTTGGAGTACGATGCCAAGAACAGTTGAGGGGGGAAATAAGGCTAGGAAGATTTGAACATAGGAAATGGAAGATTTTCAATATAACAAAGGGGAAAAATTAAAAAAAAAAGATTATTTTGATTGCTGATTGATTGTCTTATCTAGAATACTGTTATAGTGAGCCACTGCTGAATTCCGATTTCTGGAATATTGCTTGGTTTAAGGAACTATTTTCAATATCTTGCATTGAAGTGAAACGGTTTCATACAGCTTATGTAAGTGACATTTTTCCAGTAATGAGTCCTTATTTGATCTGCTGCTCCTCCGTTTGTCAGATTTGGGAGTCAGTTTCTGTCCTGTGATCTGGACTGACTGTCATCCCTAAGGGCTCTACTCCTGCTCTGGATTCATCGTCATTTGGAGCAGTGGAAGGCGGCCTATTGATTTGGAGACCCTCTTGGCAAATTCACATAATATTCTTTCGGATGTCATACTCAGTCTGTATTTCTGTTTAAGAAGACCTTTGAACTGAAAGCCGGTTAATCTTTCCCTTTTGTTTAGTAAAGTCACGAAAAATCATGTGGATTACTTGGCAGTTTTATTGCATTTTGAATAGTTTGTTTTGCTTTTTTTTTTTATAAGCGCCTTAAGGGCAGAATGTAAAAATATTTGTCACAAACAAGAATGTAATAAAGTCACTGACAAGCTACATAAGAATGTCCCTTTAAAGATGGCACAGATATAGAATACCCTATATAAAAACTGAAGCAATTCTTCTTATTGAGGTCAATATTCTATTTACCCAAGACTGGTGCTAAAGTTACCTTCCTTCTTGCTTCTTTGGGCTTGACAACCCTTTTTGGGGGGGGGGGTCAAAAATCAAGACAACCCAGTTTTACGGAACATCTGAGGCACTGAAATCTCCTCCTTTGACAGTTAACCTTGATAGGAAATTTTGTTGTAACCCCTCTGTCTGCATGGTCTTCTCACTATGAAGGCCCTGGGACTGAAAGGACAATCGACTTGACCAGTGGTCCAAGTTTCATCTTTCAAAGTAATTATTTTGGGAGAAAATGAAAGACTTTTTGGTTGTGCAGATTAAATTCTGGCAGTCTTTTTATCCTGCCCAAATTATCTGCTTGGCTTGTTCAGAATACTTCAGAGGGCTTTTGTTTTGCTAATTGGGACATTCTGTGAAGACCTTTCAAACTGAATCTGGTTTGTTGGCCAACCTAAACCTCTTTTGATATGGATGCCAGTTTTTCTTACCTCTTTGCTGGCAACCACCACAATTTTATTACGTTAATCCCAACTGTTTTCTGTCCCCCTTTTCCCTCCCATCTCTTCTCATGCAAAGATTGGGAGGATAACATTCCAGATTATTATTATTTTTGCTAACGGTTCAGTAAAACGAAAACATTCCTCAGCCTTTGTGGATGTTTCTATGTTTGCACAAATTTTCTGCTATTTTAGAAACAAGATGTAAAAGTTAACCTTGTCCACATGAATTTAGATTAGAACAGTCAGGGGTGACAATTCAGTTGCAGTGAGTCTGTTGTGAGAACTTAATGGTGTCCCTTATTGTAGGGCGTTGCAATTTGCAGTCTGTAAACAGACTAACAATTTGTCATTTTCCCATGAAATGTCAGGCTTGAGAAAGGTGCTCCTTGCTGTGTGAACTCAATATGTGGCTTTGGGGAAAAAAAGGTCTCTATGTATGAGTGGGTGGGGGCCACCAAGATTCCAGTCCCAAGATATGTGGGGGGGGGGGGCTCACTCATTCTCTGAGCCACCATGTGATTTCTTTACTTTGGCCTGGCTTGTAAACTTAGCCAATTGTGATTTACTCAGTTAGTGAAAGTCTTTTTTAAATAGTGTGTGATGAGCTTTGTCATTGTGACTAAGCAGATACTTGAATCACATTTCTTCCTCTTTGCAATCTTATAAACGGCTGCTTTGACTTTGCAGAACAAACATGTGGGTCTGCACTGTGTTATAGAAGAAGCATTTCTTAACTACTGTCTGCCTATTTTTGCTTTTAAATGTGCCTTTTACTTAGTCTTTCTAGGTGCTTTTTGGGTGGGAAGAAGGGAAAGTACATTCTTAGTTTGCTAAGGAATTTGGGTGAGTTTGTCCAGGGTTTTATTTCTAATTGCAGGGTGATTCACCATTTTTTTCTGTCGGAAATGTACCTAAAGGTGCCAAAGACTAATTTTCCAATTTCTCCAATAAACAGGTTTATTCTCTTGATTGCCTTTTATAATAAATCACCCTTATTGTGTTTTTAGAAGGGAACATTTCTTTCCTTGCTCTTTTTGGCTTCGTGATTTGTTCTGACCTGTATTCCTGTTTTTGTTAGCTGCTTTCACTTCATCTGTCTTTTATTGAATGGAATTTCAGAACAAGCAATAGATTTTTTTTTATTAGTCATTGTCCCCCGTTAGAGGGAAACGAAGCATAGAGCTGATTTGGTATGACTTGCTGCTTCAGTTGGGAGGAAGGGCAAGGCCTCTGCAACCAAAGGAGGAGAAATCAATTCTGGATTGAACTGCTGTTTTATGACAGAGGGATATTTATGTACCCTTAAGAAGAGTAAAATTGCATACGTAGAGCTCCGTCTAGTCTTTATGGGTTTCTGATCTAATCCTCAGATTCCCTTTCTCCATACTGAACTCCTATTAACCTGAAAATTAAGAATTCATTAACTTGAACCAAGCCTCAGTAAAGCTAAGGGGTGGGGACAGGGCAGTTATCTGTCCTATGATAGATACCTTATAGCAGAGCTGTCAAACTCCTGGCCCATGGGCTGGATGCGTCATGCACTGGCCATGCCCACGCCTGGTTTAACGAAGGGGTGGGAGTCCTGATACATCACATGATGTGACATCGTAAGTTTGACACCCCTACCTTATAGATATCTACCGTATCTATTGAAAGTGACTTGATGGCACATAACCAATCAATTGGTATTGCCGAAATAATTTGGAAGGAAATTGTCATTAACCTATGGAAGGAAACCTTAATAATTGAATGACATTCATGTTGTAAGTAATCTTGGTGAGGGTTGTGAAATGCCTACAAATGTCTTTTCACCTTTTTAATTTCTAGGGACCATAAAGGGACAGAAGGTGTGCAGGACCTAAAGGACCTCCTGATACGACTCTTCTGTGGTGCTTTCCTTCTTACTGAAAACTCAGCGTCTGCCCATATACCTTAGTCACCCATTCAATTTTCTGAGTATCCTGGAAAACCATGGGGATTGGCAAAAACACTACTTCGAAATCCGTAGAAACTGGAAACCCAGCAGAGGCCAAGTATGAAGATGAAGCCAAGCACACAGCTTTCTTTACGTTGCCAGTAAGTTCATGTTTAGAAATGTTAATTTTCTGCTTTCTAGTAGCATCACTGGTGCATTTCATCTGTAGTACTCTTCCTTGGAAGTCATGTTGGGTTAAGCACTAATTCTCCCAAGAAGTGAGTCATGGAAATGCATTTTTACAGGCTTTTGAATTCATCATAGATAAGAGTGTCTTATGATGTGCTTCTCACTGATGTCACAATCCCTTTCTGACAGGTGCTTCCTCTGCAAGCTTTTGATTGCTGTGTTCTGAAGGAGGACAGTGTTATAAAAAGTTGTCTGGGCAAATCAGATCTGTTGAAGACTAGAGCAGAGTGTATTTTTGAGCTATTTAAAAGGAACTGCCATTTCAGCCTTATGAAATGGATTTGACAATTGCTTATGAATGACTTGTTTTGTTCAGAAAACTGATGCAATAGGGCTGACTAATTGGATTGCTCAAGTGACCACTGGCTTCTTATCTCTCTGAATGCATTACATGAGATTAAAACGATTGCTTTCAGATATCCTTAAGGATGTTACAAAGCTCCTTTGAAGGACTGCAATTCATTTAAGGGCATTTGAGTCCTTGGGTGCTGCACCACAGATTGTCCCAGAGATGAAAATGATACAGAAATGCATTACTCAGATCCTTGAGGAAATGGAGCAGCTAAAAATGGCAAGGATATAAACGTGTAAATTTATGCATTGTGTCTAAGAATTTAAAATAAAACACTTGCATAATATAAAAACTAAGGTAATGCAATCAAAAACCCCATACTTTGGTTCATGAGGTTCATGATAAAAAGAATCTTAAGTTTTCTTTGGATACATATCTGCATATTTAATTCTTTATATATAATTTTAAAACTGCACACTATATTGGAATTATTCATTTATTTGTCAAATTTAGAATATTATAATTGCAGTTACAATATATACTTCTATGTAGCAATTGTTTCTCTTAAAATATTTTTTATAATAACAAACATCTTGATTTTAAGAATCCCTATTCAGTTAACTTTGGATGCAGCAGACAAAATCTGATTTAATTCTTCACTCCAAATAACAGAAAAGTTCAGACAGTTTGCCTGTAATTTTGGGAAATTTGCATTATCAGATTTTTATTTTTGACTGACACTTCTTATCACCAACTAGTCAGCAAAGTCAAACATTTTCTGTACTTTATCTTGTTCTGTGTTTTGGTTTAAAAATATTTTTTTAAAATAAAATATTATACAAGATTATATTATATATATACTCTGTAATTATTTTAGAGTATTACTATTTATTATAATTATTTTTTAAAGGTTGCAATAAGTGGAGGAGCAACCTCAAGTGGCGATCAAGATACAGAAGACACAGAACTTATGGCAATCTATACCACAGAAAATGGAATTGCAGAAAAGGTACCTTAAAAAGTAGATATACCCTAACATCTTGATACAAGGGAACTGTTATAATTAATTGGCATGTTTGTCCAAATTTGCCCTATGCAGTTCTTCAGCAGGTCAAGCTATTGAAATGTTTCTGTTGAATGGAATCATTAAAGGAGGGCCAACATTAGTATTTTAAGTCTATGTGGCCGTAATAAGGAAGGGCTTGAAGACTTGAGAAGCTGAGTGTTGAATGCAGCAAAATTAGATTTGGAGATAAAAATAGATGAAGGCACTCCCCATCTTTTCTCAACCAAGGCAAGTTTTTAAAAAAACAACACCATTTGTATAAGACTGATAAACTAGAGAAGAAGGTGAATCAGAACCTTTTAGCTGATAATAATGAAAAACAAAGCTGACTCATTCACCCTTGTTTGTTGAGTTGAGTTGAGTTTATTATATTTCTATGCCACCCTATTCCCCGGAGGGGACTCAGGGCGGCTCACAACCAAATCGGAGGGGGGGGGGGCAAATAAGAAAAGGACACGAACAAAACAATACCACAATTTAAAACACTCAACAACCATACCATTCGAGGGGGGACAAAAAACTCATTAGCCGCAGGCCTGTCGGAACAGCCAGGTTTTAAAGGCTTTGCGGAAGGCCTGGAGGGGGGTGAGGGTCCGAATCTCCACGAGGAGCTCCAAAGGGCCGATTGTAAAAAGTACGTCTTGTATCATTGGTTCTGTGAGAAAATATCCAGTAATGGGGTCGCCTTATCATATGAAGACTCCCCACAAACATTTGCCAAGTGGATGAAGCTNATGACTTTTCAGAAACCATCAAGTGAGTCCACACATTGCTTGATGTCAGCTCTGTTCCTTGTTCTCTTTATTTTTATTTTTATTTTTTTTGCTTTGGTCATCTATAGAGTAACCCTTTAATATTTAACTGCTTATGTTGCTTGGTATTCGTATTTATGGGCACTCCAATAAATTTAGATACCGTATTTTTCAGACTATAAGACGCACCATGATTTTGAAGAGGTAATTTTTTTAAAAAAAGTTTTTGCACTCTGCAGGCCTCCCAAACCTTCTGCACACCTTGTTTTTTGCAAACAAACAAACAAACAAAAAAAACAAAAACCTGGCATGCAGAGGCTTTGGGAGGCTTGTAGAGTGCTCCTTGGAGCTTGCGGGGGGGGGGGGATGGATGAGCCTGTTTTTTGCTCGTTTTTGCCCTCCCCAGCCTTCGGGTGCACTTTGCAAGCCCCCCAAACCCTCTGCACATCCATTTTTGCAAAGGGGTTTTTGGGAGGCCAAAAATTCTGTATTCAGTGTATAACACACACCCAGATTTTCACCTTCTCTTTGGGGAGGGGGTGAAAGGTGTATCTTATACTCGAAAAATATGTTAGATTAGATTTGGAAAGATAACTAGTAAGGGGAACATTGAAGAGGTGATTCTTCTTGTGTCAGTGTTATAAAATGTGGGTTTTTTATTCTTTCAGGTTACCCTTGTTTCAGGCCAGTGCTTTTGCATTCTTGGCTCCCGCTCGAGCCATCCTCTCTCTGGACAAATGGAAATGTAACAACACAGGTGAGCAGCCATCCTTTCCCTCTGGGCCTTTGGCCGTTCAGAGCAAGAGCCAAAATGGAGGGACACTCCCTTATTTATTTGTTTTTAAAGGCTGACTCTGATTTATAACAGTCATGAGGGGGACTTGCCTTTACAGAACCTCCAGAACGGTTTACCAATCCTGTAGCTGGTCTAGAAGATCCCCATGGAAGAACAAAAATGGCTTTTTGGTGCAAATTTCAGGGCCGTTCTCCGGGTTTCTCAAGGGACAGGCAGCAGAAGCATCCCACATCCTTCCCACGAGAATTTCGTTGAAATTGTTCTTGGGAGGAGCTTCTGAAAGTTTTTTGGGGGGGGAACCTCATAGGCCAATTTACTTATTGAGGCTGCTAGATGGTTTTTCAACACCTTCAAATTCAGAGGCAATAAATAACCAAGGAGGAAGAGCAGGAACAGGATGTGTTCCCAGAGGGTTGGGGAACCTCCTGAATTTAGCTGAACGGACTGTCAAGGATTCAGGAAATCTAAATTGCATTCCATAAAATAGGATACCTACAGTCCACTCTTTATAAACTAGGAGAAAAAAAAAATCTTAGTTTTCATTATTGCTTCACCCACTGGGTGAGCTGTAAATAAATTGCACCAAGCGTTTTAGACAAGGATTAGTGAAGCAAATTTTATAAACAATTATTTATGATGGTTTGCTTTTAATCATAATTAGAACTAGCTTGTCTAGGTTAACTATCATAGGCAAGTTTCAGTCTAACTGTTGACAGGCCTACCCGAAGGAAGGGTCCTGAGGGAAGACTGAGTCAGTATTCCCCCTGTCTGTGCTGGACTAGTGCCCCTAATCCAGCAAGGAAACAGGAGCTTCATTATATGCAAATGTAGTCAGAAAACAGAATTCATTCCCAGAATTGAAAATAGACCGTATATTTTGCTTCCAATCTTGTTTATATAGAATTTTGCAAATTTAGTCTTTTATTTTTGCCAGGTAAGTCTTGCTCACATTTAAGTAATTGGAATTTGGTGGATGATTTTGACGATATAAGGGCAGTTTAGCTGGGTAGTTTCCCCAACCTAAGTGCAGAATATATAAATAAAAGCACTTCAGAGAGTGATAAGCACTTATAACATAGCAATAAGGTGTTCCAAAATGTAATTGGCACATGAAGAAAAATCTGTTAATTAGATGTCAGGTTGATCAATCCCAGTGACTCAAAGCTGGAGGGTACTTTGCTTTGAAGTACAGCATCTTTGGAATCAAAATAACTTTCTGGTTCCCAGAAATATCAAAGAGGATTGTGAGAAAAAATGTGCAACGGTGACATCATTAACCTTTTTCCTTGTATTCCCCAAGTAATTGGTTCTGAAAATTCCATGATTGTTGTCCATTTGACTCATATAATCATAGAGTTGGAAGAGACCTTGGAAGTCTTCTAGCCCAAGTTCTTTTTTGGTCCTCTGGCAGTTCTCCTGTGCTCCAGGAGTTCAGTGGTTCTGAGATCACATCTGCCAGCTCCTTTGGTGCTCTGGGATATAGAATAGAGTAGAATAACAGAGTTGGAAGGACCTTGGGGGGTCTTCTAGTCCAACCCCCTGTCTAGGCAGAAAACCCTACAGCACTTCAGACAAATGGTTATCCAACAGTTTCTTAAAGACTCCCAGTGTTGGAGCATTCACAACTTCTGGAGGCCAGTTGTTCCACTGGTTAATTGTTCTCACTGTCAGGAAATTTCTCCTTAGTTCTAAGTTGCTTCTCTCCTTGATTAGTTTCNATGGAACAGCTTGCCTCCAGACGTTGTGAATGCCCCAACACTGGAAGTCTTTAAGAAGATGTTGGATAGCCATTTGTCTGAAACGATATAGGGTTTCCTGCCTAGGCAGGGGGTTGGACTAGAAGACCTCCAAGGCCCCTTCCAACTCTGCTATTGTATTGTATTATTGTATAATAGGATACATCACTCTTACAGGCTTAACAACAGCTCCAAAAAAAGTAGGATGGAAAATTGGGTGCAGTCACATGATGATCCACTTAAAGACTATCATGGCTTACAAGCAAAGTTACTGGCTCAATTATGGTTGTGGGTCAAGGGTTACCTGTATATTAACTGATGCTGGCAACGACTTGTGGGGTGAAAGGTAATAAAGCTTCATTGGCATCAAACCTTGTGCCCCAATTCTCTAGAAGCTGTGTCCTGCAATGGTTAGAAGGAGCAATCATGTACTAGTTAAACTCACTTGGTATAATTTACATCTCATTTTGGATAACAGTGGGGCTGACCTTGTCAGAATTGAACATCTTCTAAAAGTCAACGCGATCCTACTTTACATTAACAGAGGGACAGCATCAAGGTCTTTATAAAATCTTAGTAAGACCACACTTGGAACACTGCATCCAGTTTTGGTCATCACAATATTAAAAAAAAAGTTGACTCTGGGAAGAGTGAAGAGAAGAGCAAGAAGAATGATTAGGGGGCTGGAGGCTAAATCATATGAATAATGGCTGTAAGAACTGGGTCTAGTCTGGAGAAAAGAAAGACCAGGGGTGACATGACAGCAGTCTTCCAATATTTGAGAGGCTGCCACAAAATTTTTTTCCGAAGCACCAGAAGGCAGGACAAGAAACAACAGATGGAAACTAATCAAGGAAAGAAGCAACCTGGAATTAAGGAGAAATTTCCTAACACTGAGAAGAATTAACCAGTGGAACTGCTTGCCTCCAGAAGTTGTAGATGCTCCCTCACTGGAGGCTTTCCAGAAGAGACTGGGCAAGCACTTGTCTGGAATGGTATGGGGTTTCCTACTTGAGCAGGGGGTTGGACTAGAAGATCTCAAAGGTCCCTTCCAACTCTTGTTATTCTGTATGAAAAAAGTGCCATACCAACCAAGACTTCCCTCTGCCAGCACTTTTGCTTCCCATACGCAGTCCCCAAAGAATAGCATCAGTAGATACCCCATTTCCTACCGAACCAACATTTCTCTTCATGGTTGCTGGAGTTGATTTGTGCTCAACAGTGGGAACTGTCAGAGCTACCCACAGCTTGTAAATGTTCTTTTAGTGGGAGAATTATGGTGTTTCTTTTTAAAACATATTTAACTTTTCTCATTTCTCTATCACATATGGTATTAGAAATTAACGATCAAAGCAAAATAGGTTTTGGTTTCTATTAATATTAAGAGAAAAGAATTTTCCATCCAGTTGCAGTCTTCTGTTACAGTAGAAAAAAACAATGTACACTTTTCACCTTCGCACGAGGGCCAAAGTATGTTGAGTACCTACATCTATATTATGTTTGTTGTAGGCAGTATATTAAAAAATAACATGGAAAAATAACAAAAGAATTAACACCGTCATCTTTCGCTTTAGGTCTAAGCCCTCCAAGTATGATTTCATTTCAGAGGCCTTTCTTTCAAAAAATATTGAGTATATTTACCTACGAAAGGGAATATCG